GAATGTGCTTTGTAACCTCTAGAGGGCTCCACAAATGCCAGGCTCTTGTCTTTATTTCTGATGCCCTCTATCGAACTTCAAAGTGTTCACTGGTTTTCTCTGGGCATGTGGTGGGCCACTGCAAATGAAAACAGAGTGTGAAACACTGCCCGAATCCCAACTACTTTTGAGTGTCACTGTGTTTATGGCTTTATGATTTAGCACCACATAGGAGCAAGTAATTGTTGCACTGCCCCCTGAGTGTCTGGTTAAAAGACCAAATACAGTGTCTGGTTAAAAGACCAAAGTGTTGAGAAGACTCCATTTCCCACATGATATATGTAGGGCCACAGTGACTATGAGTAACACAGCTATAAATGGGTCATGGCAAGGCGTAAACATCACATGCTCCTCAGGCTGGATGTGGTGTGACACAAGGGGGAAATTTAGCCTATCTTAGCACCAGCCAAAGTGTCCCTTGCCCAGAAGTAAACTAGAGGTTGGGCTTCCACTTAAAAAAAAAATCTGAGTGCAAAAGTTGTGGGGTAACTGGCGAGTGACTTTTCAGCAGGGTGCCTCACTTTCCCCATCCTTCTTACAAATGCCCCCATACAGAAGGACAGGGCACAGGAGAATAGCTGACAGCTGTTGTCTAGGCAGCAAAGCAGTGTGGCCCTGGAGACTGCCCAACACACTTGCATTCCAACGCCCCAACAAACAAGTGTGCTTTACAGCATGGGCAATTTTAGCTCTGGATCCCTTCCCATTGATTTCCATTTCTAAATTTGAGCCCTGACGCAGAGCAGGGAGCTCAGGTCTCTGGATTCCTGAATTTCTGTCTTCTGATATCTTCCAGGCATTGCTAGCATATGCCAACTCCCATGAGGCCAGGGTTGGAGATTCTGGTCCTCTGTGGCTTTGTACTCCAGGTAGGATTATATAAGTCCTTATCCATAAGCAGAGTCCAGTGTTCAAGCTGGGACATCTCAAATTCTACTGATACCCAGGAGAGGAAAAGGGATCTGGAGGCACAGTGTGATCTACAGGACAACTGCAATGTTTTCTCTCTTTCATCCACTGCCTCCTGTTTGGCTTCTTCTAGGAAGAAGAATCAGGTTCACTTTTTAGATCAAATGAGGTAACTGTATAAATCCATGGTGGAGTGTCCAGAACATAGTAGGTGTTTGAGACTGGTATAGTCACCATCAGCTCTTTTTCCACCCCCATATGAAGCCACAGGTTGACAACACTGCCAGAGTTCCCATCTTTAATCAGAGTTTGAGAGGTGTCCTTGGCCTTGGGCACTTTGGGTAAAGGGAAAGAGCCCAGATCCCCTACAGCTAATGTTGCATAAGTAATATTTCTCAGTATAGTCACAATTTTATCTACCTTAGTTCAGAGTACATATCAATCCTGCCATATAAATGGCACTGATCTCTGGGTTGCAGATAGTGCTTCCCAGTCTGAATATTTCTTGGAGAGAAATCACACCTCACAGAACATGCTTTAGTGACAATTTGCTATGGATCATCACCCCTTTTATGCTGGTCAGAGAAGCCTACGGAATGTCTCGGCTTCAAGGGCAGCTTGTCATGGGCCTCTTACTTAGCCAGGGAGACTGGGCCATATGTCACCCAGCACAGTGACCACAGCAGTAAAGTGAATAGAGCATACCCTGGCCATGATGGGACTGTGGCTAGGGTCTAGAGCAAAATTGACAGCACAGTGGAGACCTAGCCCATTAATCAGCACTCCTGGTTTACTGCATCTATGAACCTCTTGCTCATTCCTGCTGCATCACATTGAAGAATGTGGGTTTGGCTGTAACTACAATTTCAGCCTTTTTTTCTTTTCTCATTTATCCAGTGGCCCAAGTCATCAGTTCCCTGGTCTCTGCTATATGGCAGGTACCATGATAGGCAATGGAATGTAAAAGTGAATAGGACATGTTTAGACCCTACACAGGGTCACAGCCTAGTGGCAGGAGAGCTATAACAGAAAAAAATGTTAGGAGTGAGATGTGCATATAAGCAAATGATTACAATTCAGTATGTTACATGGAGAGTCATGAGGAGGCAGGATTTTAGTCCAAAGTTATAAGCAAAGAGGGGGAGGCCTGATGGCTCTTGTGTTAAAGAAGCATTAAGTAAGTGGTCCAGTGAACTCAGAGTACAGATGAATGAGAGAGAATGGTCAGAGATGGGGCTGGCATGGTGCACCAGGATGAGGCTTTGAAATTGCTGGTTAATGATACATATCTCCTGTGGAGACCCTGGACTGTGGAGATGGTGGTATTTTACTTTCTCTTGGTGACTAACATGCACAAAAAATTGATAATTAAAAACTAAACAATCTAAATATCTATTAACAGATGAATAGATAAAGAAAATGTGATGTAAATGTACAATGGAATACTATACAGCTTTCAAAAAGAATTAAATTTTGTACTGTGTGACAATATAGATGAACCTGGAGGACATTAGGCAGAGTCACAAAAGGACAAACACTGTATGATTCCACTTACATGAGGTAGCTAAAATAGTCAAACTCATAGAATCAAAGAGTGGAATGGTGGTTGCCAGGGGCAGAATGGAAGAGGAAAAAGGAAGTTATAAATCAAGAGGTATAAAGTTTCAGTCAAACAAGACGAATAAACTCTAGAGTTCTGCTGTATAACACTGAACCTAAACTCAACAATGCTTTATTGTATACCTAAAAATCTGTTAGGAGTGTATATCTCATGTTGTGTTCTTACCACAATAAAATAAAAGATAAGCAAATAAAATAAAATGTTAGAGAAATACAAGGGACTGTGTCAACTGCTATTGAGAGCATTTTCAGTTTTACAACTATTAATATCCCTCTAACTTTCCCTATGGTTCCCAAACCATCCAAACCTTCCATGTCAGTAGAGTAAAAAGAGTCTCAGAGTCAGGACAACTGAATTAAAATTCCAGTTTTTCCATTTGTCAGCTATGACATTTTGAGTTAGTCACTTAGCTTTTGGAACCTTTATGTATTTCATCTTACCAATGGATACACCACATCCTGCATCATAGCAATGCTACAAATGTTCAATGACACAAGGGGCTTTGTGATCTATAAAGAAATACACAGGAAAGCAAAGCTTTCTAACAGATCTCTGCAATAGACTTCTCCTCAGAACTCACTGGCCAGACCTGGGACCCATGGCTCCCACTAGCTGTAAGAGAGACTAAAAAAATAAGAGTATTTGGCTCACCAGCCTTTGAAGTAGAGAAAACTGGGCTTTGTGGAGAGTATGAAGCCATAGTTTTTACCTTAGCAGGGAGAGGACCCTTGTTGGCAGAGTTTTTATTCCTTCCAGCTATTGGTAATGAAAAAGTTTGAGTATTCTACTTAGAAAATACTTATCCCATTTATATAAGTAAAACACACAAAGAAGATACCAAAGATTAACAGAAAACAGATGTATCAGTGATGTTCAAGAATCCCTGCATTACAAGAAGTTTACAAAAAAATGGGACATGTCAATTAACTATTGCTGCATGACAAACTACCCCAAATCCAATGCTTAAAAACCATTTTTTAAAAATAATTTTTCAGAGGTTGGGGTTGTGGCTCAGTGGTAGGGTGCTTGCCTTGAACGTGTGCAGCCCTGGGTTCGATCCTCAGCACCACATAAAAATAAATAAAATGAAGGCATTGTGTCCAATTACAACTAAAAAATAAATATTTAAAAATATGTATATTTTTTATTTTTTTAGTTGTAGTTGGACACGATACCTTTATTTATTTATTTATTTTATGTGGTGCTGAGGATCGAACCCAGGGCCTCCCACGTGCTAGATGAGTGCTCTACCACTGAGCCACAACCCTAGTCCCTTAAAAACCATTTTTTAAAAATTCTAGCTAATTTGTTTGGGCTCAGCTAATCTTGGCCAGAAATATTAATGAGTCTTCAGGTCAGCTGGGGGCTCTCTATTACATGAGGCTTTACAACTAGGGTTGCTCTGATCTACTTGTTTCTCATCCTTCTCTTGGGATCAGAGGCTAGCCTGGGCATACCCTTGTTACAACAATGGCAGAAGTACAAGAGACCAAGCAAAAGCATGTGAAATTTCTTGACGTGTAGGCTTAGAACATCATCACTTCTGCCTCATTTTGTTGACCAAAGTAAGTCACATGGCCAAACTCAAGCATGAAAAATTATATCCCACCCACAATGGTAGGAAACTACATAGCAGGAATGGATATAGAGAGGGGTGACAGAATGGAGCCATGAATGCAAATCTATCTCAGGCACCAAAGGTCTTGGAATTCATCGTCATAAGATTAGTATTACACTCTAAATCTTCACAAGGAAGCCATTCTAATTTAGTTTGCAATTATTTAAATCACTGGAGCTGAAGTTGGTGGTCACACCTTCTACCCATAGTTCGTTTTACATTCATGGAATTGAGATGAAATTTCCAAGTGAAAATGGGGTCTTGTGTCCCATTTGGCTTGTACCAATCAGATTGATTTATAACCTGTCCCTAAAAGTATCTCATGGAAACTCATGACAAACATAGAGGACATTCTGTTAAGTTAGCTAAGCCAGAAACAGAAAGACAAATACTGTATGATCTCTCTTACGTGTGAAATCTGAAGAAGTTGAACTCCCAGAAGTAGAGAGTAGAATGGTAGTTGCAGGGGACTGCGTGAATGGGGAGATGTTGATTAGAAGGTACAAAATTTCAGATATAGGAAGACTATATTCTGGAGATCTAGTGTATATATAGTATGGTGACAATGATAATGGTAATAATAATGTCTTGTATACTTGAAAATTGCTGAGAATAGGTCTTAAATGTTCTTATAAGAAGTTAGAATGTAAAGTGATGAATATGCTAATTATCTTGGTTTAATCATTTCACAATGCATGCATATATCAAAGTATCATGCTGTACACCATAAATATATATATACGATTTTTATTTGTTTGCCATGCCTTAAAATAAACCTGGGGAGAGAAAACTAGTGTTTTTTTTCTTTTGCAGGCTTGATGTGAAGAATTAAAAATGAAGAGAGTGGATTCAAATGAATATAGCTCAATAAAAATTTTTCTATATTTGTATGAAGATTATGAACCTCCTGAATGCCTGAGACTCTAGCAGAAATGGCCTGTTTGTACATTTATATCTCTTCCTTCTAGTTGGCTGCATTTCACTTTAATTTATCTTCATTTGTGGCAACTTGCAGAGGAAATCAGCCCATAAATTCGCCACCTGAAGGGTGTGGTTTTGAGGAGGGATATGATTTTATGGAGCAGGATATGGCAATGTGTGTAACAGCGATTTTGATGGAAAGATCTCTAAGCTACTTCCCACAGTCTCTTGGTCAATATTTGGAATGCATTTTAGTTCTTCACCTTTTAAATTATGTCAATAAACTTTTTATGAGTTCAAATAAATATCGGAGTAAATGTAAAATCTGAATCTAGACTAAATTAATTTTCATATCTTCATACAGCCACATATTCACTAACATGGAGAGAAGTAAGATGTAAAAATGAGCCAAATCCTCTATTGCCTAAGTGTGGGCTTCTTATTCTGAATTATTAGCTACTACGAATAACACTATGGCTGGGTGATCATTGCACACAAAATTAAATATTGCCTGAGGGATTGGATATCACTGATGTTCCTTCTCCAAAGATGACATTTGTGGAGAGTGTATTTGACTTCCATAGAGGCTCAGAAACTCCCTTCACCCAAATGGAATAGAGTTTATTGTAAGGCACAATAAAGTTGAGAGATCAGAACAAAAGAGAGGGGCAGATCATATGCTAGTTGTGCAAAGGAACATGAAACATGCCACCTGCAGCTCAGATGAAGAGTCTCTGTGTAAATTTAATCAATGTCCAACACTATCACAGAATAAAAAGAATCACACAAGCAACTTCACAGTGCAAGGACACGAGTGACCAGATGATCAAAGGCCATGGTGTTCGAAACACAAAGGGTGTCACCTACCTGGTATGCACAGACCTCAACACCACTTCTGGGGCTAAACAACTTTATCCTTGCCTCAGAGCCAGCTGTTGTAAAAAATTTGATGTACTTCTAAAAAGCCCAAGTGGAAATGAATCTGCTTTTCTGTTTTGCAGAGAGTGGTTTCCAAAAGCAAGACTATTGCCCACACCTGTGACTGGCTGGAGACTCTCTGATGCCTGATGGGTTTACATTTTCCTGAGGGGTTGCCTATCTGGTTTTAGGTCCTAGGTATCTTGCTGGACTGTGGTTTATCTTGGTGATCTACATCTAATATATGCCTATGGGGTGGGGAAGCTCAATCAGAACTGCCAGCCTATCATTTGTCAGTAGAGCAGGTGAACAAGTTCTAAATAATATGGTGCTGGGTTGCCTCAGGCTGTCTCTTTCCTTCCTAATTGTCATGGTTGGGTAGGGTTACAGCATTTACCTCAGTCTTCACTTTGTTTAAATATAAATTATCCACACTCAGTTTCAAAATTAAGTTCTGGTTCAGTGTTATGAAAACTGTCTTCATAATTTAATAAGTCTCCCAAGACACATTTGCAGCATAATGCAGACCGAAGCCATGAGATGAATTCAATAGATTTTTTGAGAGCTTTAAATGTAATGTGTATTTTATTTTGTTAATGTTCAAAATCACTATGTGTAGGATTTAGGAGTTCCATATTCTATCATTCATTGCTGAGTACCTATAGTATAATATAGGAAAATTTAGAGCTTTGGCTTTCTATAAAGCTATAATTTAAAAAAAAATCAGGGCTGGGGCTATGGCTCAGTGGTAGAGTGCTCGCCTAGCATATGTGAGGCACTGCATTTGATTCTCAGCACCGCACACAAACAAACAACAACAACAAAAAAAGGTCCATTGACAATTAAATATGTAAAAAAACTAAAGTTTAAAAAAAATCACACATTTTATGGTAAGTAGCATACCATAAATCATGGGCTAGGGATATGACTCCATGGCACAGTGCTTTCCTAGGGCTTGGGTCCCATCACCAGCACCACAAAACAAAAACAAGAATACCCATGCATCAGCCAGGTATGGTGGTACACTTGTAGTCCTAGGTTATCAGGAGGCTGAAGCAGGAGGATCACTGGAGCCCAGGAGTTCAAGGCCAGCCTGGGCAACATATTGAGACCTTGTCTCAGGGAGAAGAAAGCCATACATGACTCAGAAACACACTTATCTTATGGGTTTGTAAGCAACCAGTTATTATGCAACTTTTGTATGGGGAGAAACAAGTTCAAGTAGTTGAAGAGTCATCAGGAAAGAAAAAAAATCCTAGAAACAACACCTATTTGAATAAGAAAAGCATAAGCTACCATATCCAGTTTTTAGAGTGCATGCTGTAAATGATGATTAGCATTTTATTGTGTACTCAAAGATACAACATCCACTCTGCCCACATTTGATAGATATGTCAGGCTCTATATTAAGTTCTGGGGAACACAGAGCAAATTCACCCAGAAAATCACCTTGCTTAAAATACCACCCCCCATCACTCCCTCTCATCCTTTCCCTAAATCTGGGATCTTCCTATATTGTACTTGGGACAGTAAAGGAAAAAGGCCCTGCTGGGTTCATGACTGAATGGGACAATTGGAAAGCCTTCTCCCTTTGGATCAGAAACCATAGAAAACACTGTTCAGAATCATCTCAGCCACTCATTTTGCATGATCTTTATATTTTGAGAGCACAGACTGGATGTAATTAGCTTTGTTTCCAAGGTTGCTTACTGAATAGCTGAATGGCACAGTAGTATTCTAGAAGTTAGGCCCTGGGCATGGGGGATGATAATTACCCAAATGAATCCCTCATTTTTAACTAGAGCAGCTAGAGGATTTACAAAAAGCCTCCCATTGTGATTAGGTCCATGTAAGGAACGCTACTAATTTGAATGTGCCATCCTGTGAAATCCCCTCTCCTACATTCTTGGGCTGACCTAGAATCAGGGTTTCCCCTTTGGGAATGAGCACAGGGCTCATTTGGATTCAAGGACTACAGATTGATCAATTAAAACTCGTTTCCTTGGAAGGCCTGTGGCATTATCCCATTGCTTTGCAATCTAGCTTGAAATAGAAACTGCATTTAATTTGATAATTGATGCTCCCTTGGGAATTTAACCTGATGCTGAGCGTGTACATCAATGTGGCCCATTGTTAGTTCTTTGCCTTATGTACCATTAGTGAAATTTCTGTGTTGCTTTGAAGGAAAGGATATATTATATCACTCAGACACAATCATGTATTCATTCAACAAGCCACACATAAAGCATTCTCTGGGATAGACAGCAATCCACTAGCATATTGCCAGGCCAAGAAAACCCTTAGAACTCATGTATTGAGTTCATTTTTTTTCTCTAAGCAAATGACAAAACTTGTTTAGATCCTGCATTGAAGGCAAATCATACTGTCAAAAAATATACTGATTATAGAAAGAGGGGATTCAGACATAAACTAAGATTACAGCCTTAACAACATCATCACCTAAAGGTGTTCTTCAGAGAAAGAAAAACAACCTCAATTAAGCAATCATTTTCAGATTCTGGGAAGCTCTTGGCCTCATATCCTTCACCTCTATGCTTGTTTATTATAGGAGAAAAATCAATCCTTTAACATTTGACTTCTCCTGAGCAAAATAATTCAGAGACATCACTGACTAGGAGAAACCACACTATCAGGTAACAAGGCTCTTTTTTATGACTAGCTCTTTCCCTGGTTCAGTGAGGATATATTAAGATGCAGATTCCAGAGGGAAGGAGGCTTTCCCCTTGGGCTTAAAGCGAGCTGCAAAGCAAACGGCAAGTCTGCACTCTGAAATCGAATTTGTAAAACTGACTGGGAGGAGCAATGGGGAGGGAAGGTGCAGGCAGGTTTTGCCCCAGTGTGTGGGTGGCTGATGGATTCTGGGCATGCAAAAAGGTGGTCTAGACTTCTCTGAGAGCCATTCCTGCTCCTTAACATTGCTCAAAAACCTATGGTGCACTAGACAAGGCAGGATCCTGGAGAAATTTCTTTTCACAAACATTTTTGGAACACATCAACATGTGATTCACCCACCCACACAAGCCATGCTGCTTGATGGCTAATGGCAAGCTTTAGGCAAAAACAAAACAGGAAAGGCTTTGTTCTTGATTTATGGTTTTGTTTTGCTTTATTTCATACTGTGTCTTCTGGTTTTGGCCACACACCAAGATTCTCAGGCTTAGGCGATCCTCACCCTCCTCTCCCAGCCAGAGATGAGTTTTCCATACTTGGTGGGAGATAAGGAACATAAGGAGAAGCCAAAGGAGACCTTTCAACTTCTAGGAGGCCAGCTGACCAACAGGCCTGGGAATTTCTGTTTGGTGTTGGAATGTAGGCATTTGCTTAGTATTCTAAAATCATTTGGGTTAACCAACTTTATTATAATTTCTTTAAAATGGCATGTTCCATTTATTTAAATTTGCAGCTAAGGAAATAGGAAACAATACAGCTGTCTCTAAATGATAAAATAACAATAGCACATAGACCAAGATTCCTTAAATATTTGGGGAAAAACACAAAAAGATCAACCCTCCAGACATATATTTTTTTCCAAATCTCAAATTCATTGCTAGGCATTGTGGCTGTGATAACAACAGTTCAGGAGAGAGGAAGTCAGAACTCCATTTGGAATCCAGGGCAACAGCCCACCCACCCATACCCACACACTGGGTAGGAATTCTTTTCTTTCATTATTGCATTATAGTTATACATAATAGTTGGGTTAATTTTCATAAAATCACACATGCCTGGAATTTGATTTACTCCATTCCACTCCCCAGTGTCCCCACTTCCCATCCCTCCTCCTCCTCCCTCCTATCTCCTCCTATTCTTCTTCCTCTACTGGTCTTCCTTTCACTTATTTATTTTTCATATCTTTATTTTATTTATTTTATGTGGTGCTGAGGATCGAACCCAAGGCCTCACACATAATAGGCGAGCATTCTATTGCTGAACCACAACACCAGCCCCTCACTATTTTTTTTTTGATTGGTGCTTTATAGATATAGAGAAAGGTGGAATTCACTGTGGCATTTTGAAGATAAAATTACCCAGGAAAAATGTCCTTACTGAGGAACCCACTAGACTCCAAACTCTGTCATCAGATTCTGGTCTATTACAGAGATCCCAACCAATACACTCCATATTGTGGCCCCCTTGGCTATTCCCTAGACTTTCCCCAGCTTATTTTATTTACCATCGTGGGAAGGGAACCACCTCCTCTCTGTTAAGTAGCATAATTTCCTTACAGAGCATGCTTCTATCGATGGCTTTACCTGTATTTGGCACTCTGGAGTTGTTAGTTCCATTTGTCCTTGGATACAAACAATGAAACCTATTGCTGGCTAGAAAATAAACCATGGGAATTGGCATGTTTTCCAATGTGAGA